CTTGCTGAATAAAATTATTCAATTCATACTACCCACAATTTTGCATGGTGGTGTATTTCTTCTTTATTTTACATCACACAATTTCTTTGCTTTAAACTTTTCAAAATCCTAAAACCAGATTTTTGAATCCCAGATTTTCAATGTGGTTTCAGACTTTTAAACTCAACTGTATCATCTCAGGCACAGTCAAAGAGAGAGGGAACATTCAAAAAAATTATTCAGATTCACGAAAAGTGACAATAAACAGTGCAATATATTTGCTTTTGTGCAAAATTAAAAGAATTAAAAATTTAATTAATGATAATACTTTTAAAGCCTCCATCAAAAAGTCATTTCGGTTCCGTTTTGCTCTTCTTTCCGCATTTCTAGAAATGATTACTGAAATGAATAAGTCAACAAAACCATGGCTGACTGAACAACATAATTACCCAAGTCTAATTTACATCTCGTTTATCATAAAAGTTCCCTGCTTCTCCTCCTAGCAAGAGTTGAGAGCTGCTTGTACACTGCACTTAACGTTTCATTAGGGATCAAATGACAACTTGATGCTAATATTATGAATATTACAGAGTTAATGATTTCCTGGCAAATCTCTGTTTAGCAGGCAATTATGAAGATGCTATTCAAATACTTTTGCTTTTAAACAACTATGTTTAACACAGTTAGAAAAACATGGCGAAATAAATAAATAAAACACACTATATGTTTCTGCAACTAAACTGAAGAACACTTTAACAAACCCCAGGGAACAGCCTATCACTGATCATTTATTTATTTATTGCGTATGTATGTGAGAAGAATGCCAGTAATTGTATCTGTTTGTTCACTCACTGAAACAGACATGATTGCATTGCTCCACTCTTCAAGAGATCACTCTTCAAATCCAATTTAATTTGTGTGAACCCTGATATGGAGCATGTACATCCAATTTCTGAATGAAATTGGAATTGACATTTCATCTCTGAAGATCACGTGTGCATGGCGGCCTTTTTAACGCTCACCTGGTCCTGCTGCGTCGCACGTCGCCCTCACTTGTCATGGGCTCATCAGAGATCATCCTAAAAATGAATGAATAAATCATTTTGCTAAATAAATACAGCAGCTGAGCTCTTGGCACGGCCCTTCATGTGATTGAAATTTAGGATGTTTGGGTCCTTTCTTTCTCAACCCAAACAAGATTCAGATACATATTAGGTATTGTTTTTAGGAAACTCACCGTCTTTGATCAAGCAAATCCACCGTTTCGAGGCTTTTTTCTCCATTTCTGTCACCTGATGGTTCCTCGCCACTGTTGCCTTTGGCTTGCTTAGTTGGGGTTGAAAAGATATTTAATATTTAGTAATATTGATTTGAAAGCACTGACACCATCAGAACTGAGCTGAATAATGACAATATTGTCTTTCTGCTTTATAGCGGAATTGAATTTGTTCATAATTGATCAATTTGGCAACATTGACTGAAATGAATCAACACTGAACTGACACTGATGCTTCCTTACAGCAGAATACGGATTTGTGAATATCATTGATTCTGTTACTTTCTTGTTTAATACTGTGAAGCAGCTTTGAAACAGTATGTGTTGTATAAAGCACCATAAAAATAAAGGTGACTTTACTTGACTTGATTGTCAAGTTCTGTGAAGATACTGCAGGGTATATCTGTGGAGAAAATATAAGGCAGATTTTTATTATAAAGCATGATTAATTAATAGCATTTAATTAAATTTCATGCAATAATGTTTTACACATGGAACAAGTCCAAAATCTAGTTTTTGTGTAGTTATGACTGAATTTTAAGAGGAAAATGAATGTATTCTACAGTATCATTAAACAGGACGGTATGGGCTTTATTGATTATCAGTCACTCACTGTGACAAACAATTCCTCAACATGCACTGCTTTTCTATTCGTTGCATGCCTTCAAGGCAATTCTACCATGTGAATGAGTTTTCTGCAAAGCAGCCTCTCTGAAACTCAATTACCCTTCATGACTCCAGGGTCAAGCAGTTTCCAGGCCAAAATATTTACGTATTCATGTAGCTTCAGGCTTTAATTTTAAGACTACAACATTATCAAAAAAACACTCTACTGCAAGATCAAATGAATCATTAAGATATTCTCTTCCTCTTCGCTTCATTCTAGTGGATTACATTCTAGCGAGCAGCAGGTGACGTGTGAAACTGAATTTCCATTTCCCTGCTGTCAATTCCGATCGCTCATATTCGGCTGGACACTTGCAGCCACCGGGGAGGGACTGGACAGGTGCACAGAGTGGGACCAAAACAAAACAAATCAATGGCTAAAACCTCGCTGTTGATCTGGTCAAGATCATTCACCCAATCAAAACTTGAAATTTGACCATTTCAAAAGACCCCTGAACGCTTCTGACAGCACAGCATATGTTCTTGTTTTGATCCGATAACCACACCGTAAAGCGTCATCATGGGTGCCGCCAACAACAGTCACAGTGTAATATAGCCATTTGTGTCATAGACAACATTGGTTTTATTTCTACGGTTATATTTTTGGGCCACTTTCTTAATAATAAAACCACTTAGACTCTCAAAAATGGTTATAAAGAACATTATTTTAGTGAAATGCAGTTACAGTAGCAGAATGAAGGAACCAAAAAAGATAGTTTGGTAGTAGTGCATGGAATTATGGCGAATTGCTTTTATTCGGCACTCAGTAAAATAATAGCCCAATGTTCCCTCTGCTGTCAAGTCATTCTTAACCTCAGGATAACCCTGCGTGCTTGACTGCATATTTCATTTGCAATGTGCTGAAGCCTATGAAGATACGTTTAAGTGATGGAATACAATGAAAAAGTCAAAAGAAAAGAATGCATCACCCTCTTGAAGAATTAAATGACCTCTAAATTTGCATAGGTCAGTCGAAAGCCTATTTATTGGCATGTGCAGAGGTCACTTACTAATAGGCCATTTACTAATTGAACTTTGTCTTTGTACCCATTCATGGTGATGAATTGAAACTATTTCATTTGTAGTGCTCCAAGTACATTTTTGCCTGGAAAAACACTTTCATCTATGTCCTAATTTTTTGTCAACATTTTTCTGATGATGATTTATGACCTTTCCACAATTTCAGATGTTGTGTAGTGAGAAATTGCTTGTCAAAAAACAAAACAAAAAAAACCCCAGCTCAAGTAATCGTAGATTCAGCAGCTGGTCAAGGATTGTGCATTGATCCAGTCCTCACATTTCCCACCTGTGGACGTCTTGATATACGCATGCAGTGACCTTGCTGTTGTGCTAAAGGTTAGTCATTAATGGCATCTGAAAATGCCACATTCAGGGTGAAAACTACAATTTTTCTCAAGTACACTGTAAAAATAATTCCGTAAAATTTACGCTATTTTACGCCGGAATTTTAACATAAAAAATACAGTAGCAACGTTTTAGGTTTTACGGTTTTAACTTAAATTTACAGTTAAATACCGTAATTTCATTAACTGATATAATGTTAATATACCAACCTATTGAGGTACTGAAATCTGTTTTGTACCTTTGTAATACACTGATAACCACCAAATGCAGGTGGTGAGAAAGTCACATGATGAACCAACGCCCATCACAAGCAGCTTTTAAATAATAACATATATAGAAGGTGCACAGTGTCATTCACACAAACGCTAAACACCATCATGGTAACACACATGAAACTGAAATAATGCAATAAACATTCATTTAACAACATTAGGTGTAACACACAACCCTAAATACAAAACTATACAAAACTGATAAGAAAAGACTAAAAAGAAACATAGTTATTTCAACAAAAAAACATCAAATTTGAAATGTAATGCAGGGAATTCTGGGAATGTCAATTTATGGTTATTCACTGTAAATTATACAGTCTTTTTCAGTTCCAAAAACGGTATACTACCGTAAAATTAATGTCCAATACATGTAATGTCCAATACAGTTTTTCACCGTATATAGTAGGGGAATTTACCGTTAACCATTTAACAGGTTTTTACTGTAGCATTTTTACAGTCTTTTACCGTTAAATTCACGGTCATTTTTTACAGTGAGATAAAAAATAAAAGTAATTGATTTAGCCATCAGCTGATATCATCCCGGTGCTATTTTTATGTCTTAAAAGACAGAAAGAAGAGAAATAATAAGAAGTTTTCCTTAAAAAAATACCATACCAGATTGCTGGCTAATAACAAATTACCACAGTTTTAGTGCAGCAATAACTGTAATTCGATCAAAGTGGTTGAATTGTTCTAGAGAGAGGCAAACTAACACCACAAAACATCACAGAATTCATTGCTAATACTTACTGAGTTTTCCCTCCAAAACAATGTCACTTCCTGGGGGATGATATTCTGAGGAACAGGGATTTTTACAAAAACCTGTCCGGATGGAAAGTGACATCGAGCACACTGGAAAAACAGAAAAATAAAGAAAACGTTTAGTTGAGCAAATATGAGAAAAAACAACAACACTTGAAATATTTCTTAATATCTTTTTTCAATAATTACAATCCACATAAGAGTACATTTCACCCCCCTCCATCTTCAAAATGGGAATTCATTTTATCCAATATAATTGAAGAATGCTTTAGTTTTGGGTAACACGTTATTTTAAGATGTCCTTGTTACACATGTTGCATGTCCTTACTATTATTATAATAACAATTAATTATGCATAATTACATGCAAGTAACTCTAAGCCAAACTCGAATCCTAACCCTAACATATAGTAACTACATGTAGTTAATTAATATTACTCAGTACTTAAATGTATAATTACACTGTAACGAGGACACCTTAAAATAAAGTGTAACCTAGTTTTGTTTTTAGATATAGATACGCGTTTGTTTGTTTTTAAGTTTTCAAATTACTCGAATCGATATTTTTACTTGGCCTTTTGTTCTCAAAACACGTTTGAAAGTCAAACAATGACGAGTGCCAGTGAGGAGGATGCGCGTGGTCACTGGCGCGTGACTGGAAAGATGCGCGGAGTTTACGCGAGCCGCAGAAGCGCATTTGGTGAAGCGCGCCAAGTACGCGCTCGCTATTCAGTATTCTGAAGACCCTGGGACAAGAACACTGACATTTCATTTGCTCATTTGGACCTATTTTTTCCCAATCCAACCTTAAAACAACAAAGCAAACATATTTTGCTTCTTAGCTGAAATGGTTTTTCTCTGATGATTTATGGATAATGGATCCTCTATACAACACTTTGCAAAACTCGAGCGGCAACGGGACCAACGGTTCATTGGTCAATGACACGGACGTGTTCTCGAACCAGTTCGTTCAGCCGGTGTGGCAGATAGTTCTGTGGGCCATCGCGTACTGCTGTATAGTTCTGGTGTCAGTTGTTGGAAATATCACTGTCATCTGGATCATTTTAGCGCATAAGCGCATGAGGACTGTGACCAACTACTTTCTAGTCAATCTTGCGTTCGCAGAGGCTTCTATGTCGGCTTTCAATACCGTTATTAACTTTGTGTATGCAGTGCACAACGAGTGGTACTTCGGACTTGTTTACTGCAGATTTCACAACTTCTTTCCAATAGCAGCTGTCTTCGCTAGTATTTACTCCATGACAGCAATAGCCCTGGACAGGTGAGCTATTTCTCTTTTGTGGTACATGTACTATGGTATTCTTTGAAGAACCTTGGAGGTCATTGTAAATATAATTGTACATGAATATCCATGGTATACATCGAATTGTATAAGCATGGTCCTACCACAGCAACGTTGGGTGTAATGCATTACCAAATAATTAGTTACTGTAAGTTCCTTCTGATGTAATACTGTAGACTATAGCAATTCTATATAAAACAGTAGTGAATTTAACATTAAACATTTACATCTAATGCCAAAATTTATGTTTTTAATGTAACCTTGAACTTTTAAATACTTTGGTCAGTTCAAGAATGATTTCTGGAATTTTATATTATTTATTTGAAATAATTAAAGAGCAGTTTCATGTCTATCCTTGTATTGTTCAAACTGGTCTAGGTAGAATTTAGAAAGTAATTAATAAGTAATGCAGTACTTTTTAGAGAGAGTAATTAGTGCAGTAATAAAAACACTAGTGAAGATGTAATTAGTAGCTAGTTGCTTTTTTTAGAGTAACTTACCCAACACTGTACCACAGTAATATTTTGTAATCCTAATTGGGTATAAAACATACATACATGTTCCTTTATCTCTGCTCCGTGTTCACAGTACAGATGGATGCTGAAAAACACACCTCTACTGGGGCATTTCTGATTTATAGTACGTTGGGGGTTTTTTTGCCCCTATGGTATTTTTACTCTAAGTAAGAGGTAGTCCTATTCTTTGGAGTACCATGTAAACGCCACTATTCAGTACCATAGTATTGGCATCTGATAACATCACTGTACCATAGTACCACCACTTTTTGGGAGGATGGAATTAATACAATCCATACCTATGTAGAAAAACTGTTAAAACTCAAAACAAAGAAAAAAAGCTGCATCCTTTCTATTCTGGCTGAGAGACCCCTTGGTTGCAGGAAAAACTCCACTAGTCATCTCACTCACTCCCCAAATCAAATCAGCTGGACGAGGCAAATAATTTAGGGGCAATTCAAGTGGATGATGCTCCTTTGAGTTTGCATAAATAGCAGGTCATTGCCTTTGTTAAACTCCCCCTGCAGGTACATGGCTATCATCCACCCACTCCAGCAGCGCCTGTCGTCCGCTGAGACCAAGCTGGTGGTGGGGGTGATCTGGGCTCTGGCGCTGCTCCTGGCTTTCCCCCAGTACTATTTTTCCAGCACCGCTCAGCTACCAGGACGAGCCGTGTGCTACATCAACTGGCCAGAGTACAGTGTGTGGGATTTTCAAAAGACGTAAGTCAAGTCAGACTTGCTGTCAAAGTCAGTGACGATGTATCTGTAAAATGAAAAATGAAATGTGTCACATATGGCAAATACTAAAGATAAACTGTTTTGAACAACCATTTCAAAACATTGAAAATGTCGAAATAGACTGGAAACTGGACATGAACTACAGTCAAACTCAAAGCCTGAGTCGCACGTCAAAACACCCGAAAGGAATACTTCTGCCATGTCAATAATAATATGAAAAAGACAATGGTAATTCAAATCCCTCTTGGAGCTCTAAATTGCCCAAAAATGCATACCTGGCTCCTCCTCTTTTCCTGCCATTCTGGCACCTTGAGCAAAGACAATAAACTTTGAAGTTTGTGCAGTGTGGTCTATCTCCTCCTGCAAGGCAGCACTGCCTATTTTAGCAACAACATAACAATGAAAAATCTGACAATGCAATCGAAAACAACATTAGAGACACCATAGGGTGCACTCTTAATGCTAGGACCGGTACCAAGTATGTGGCATGGTCTGATTTATGAAATGAATATTTCAACTGTGGCTAAGTAGCAATACATCCTGTCCTGCATCTTAATCACATATTTATCAGCTACTGAATGAGTTTTGATAGATCTTCACACATGGTCAGCACTCTTAATTGCTGCCAACTCCAATCTGATTCTCCAATATCCTGCCAGTCTAATGCAATAGGTGACAGGTGCCAACGGCAATTGGTTATTTCCATAACAGCTTAGTTGTTCACCCACGCATACAGTCAATCTTCCTGTAGGCTTTCCCCCGTCACTGAAATGCAGTGAGCATGTATAGCTTCTTCAAGTGACATAACCTGTTACACCTCACAAATGTGAGTCAAATTTGACAAGAATCATTTCTTGAGGTTGTTCTTGAGCTTTTGTCTGCCCGAACTTTCTTTAAAGGTACAGACAGTCACTGAGAGACCAAATCTTGATAACACTGGCATCCGAGATAAGGAGCTCTGATCAGTGGACAATCTTTAACTGCTGGTAGATCTTTGAGTGTGATGATGGATAGCCAGAGAGGGACAGAAAGGGGAGAATTAGATTCAAAGCAGCTAATGTTTTCTTTCACACAAACATATTTTTGCATTTAGCCACCGAAATCTGCAGGATTTTGGCAAGTGCACTGCAGACTTTTGTTTTCAGGCAATCACCTGTCATGTTAGCTAGATTGTCTTCTTATTTCACACCACAAAAGGCAAGAAGCATTTTTTTAATTAATCAACTGGACAATTATTCAATTGAGATAGTGATGGATACTTGAAGAGCAGTAAAGACCCACAACTCATTTGGCTCTTCCTAAATAGCATGTCTGGTAGGATGTTCAGTCAAAACAACAAAAGAGAAGGCAGCATTTCCATTGCTGTTTTTGGACAGTCTTGTGGGACAGGGATTCAGAACGTTTGTGGTAATGCATGAAAGGCCTGCGCATATTTTCCCTCTATACCTCTACGGTGAGGAGAGTGTCTTTCTAGATAAGCCTCGAGCTAATTAGCATGTTGAATTGTACGGCACTCCAAAAGAAATGAGGCACAGCACCCGAATCCTGCGAGCATTCACAGTTCACGATTCAAAAGTTTTCCAGCGATTATTTTTAAGTGGCAGCTAACGCGAGAAAACACATGGGACTCGGAGGTGTTGGCGTGTGGCATTCTTTTGTGTAAAAATGCGCACTCAAAATATGTCTCAACAACTTTGGGTCTATTTTCATCTTGGGTTTCTTGTCTTGTTCTTGTTCGTTGGCTGCCTCCAATTCCAATTCTCCATCTGGCTGTTTTCTGTCTCTTCCTCTCTCACAGGTATTACGTCTGTGTGGTTGTGCTTATCTACTTTCTGCCTTTGCTCGTCATGGGTTGTGCTTACCTGGTGGTGGGATGTACTCTCTGGGCGAGTGAGATTCCTGGAGACTCTTCAGACCGCTACCGAGAGCAGCTAACCGCCAAACGGAAGGTCATCATCTGTAGAGTGACTCACATAAAAGCTTAAATGTCAGTTGCCTTGCTGAAAAGACCGGCTTGGATGGATAGTAACCTAGCAACATTTATCTGATGAAGTTGGCCAACATCGAAGTTCTTTGAAGTGACCAACTTTGCTGGTCTTTTCAACAAGATCATGTAGGAACACGACTATTGTTTACTTTAGGCCACTAGGTAAGCAACTAATCCAGGTTTTTGCCTTACTTCAGCTCCTTCTACTTTAACTTCTGTAGGTGGTGAAGATGATGATTGTCGTTGTGTGCACCTTCGCCATCTGCTGGCTGCCCTACCATGTCTACTTCCTGTTGCACCAGTTCCTTCCCCACTTGTTTGAGGAACGGTACATCCAGCAGGTGTACTTAGGAATTATGTGGCTTGCCATGAGCTCCACCATGTACAATCCCATCATCTATTGTCTTCTCAATGACAGGTAAGGAGTTGGTTTAGGGGCAAACATTTCAGGTTTAGGGGCAAACATTTCAAAGGGTATCATGCAATTCTCTGTGCAGGTTTCGAGCTGGATTCCAGCAGGCATTCTTCTGGTGCCCTTGTGTCCCTCAAGGCTCATATGAAGGTCTGGAGCTCAAGTCCACTCGCTATCTTCAGACGCAGGCCAGCATTTACCGTGCCAGCCGAATGGAGACCACAGTATCCACAGTGATGCCGGTTGTTGAGGGGGACCTTCAGGAGAATACAAATCGATGTTCAATAGATCTCACGTCTAATGGTTCTTCACAAAGCACTTCAAAGACTGTATCAGAGTCATCCAGCTTCTATTCTAGCAACAATTTAGCTTAGGAAGGAATGTAGGAAATACTTTCAGTGTTAAAGTACCGATCTTGTGAGAAGAAGGGCAAATGATACACGTTCCAGGGAATGTCGTAATGTGATATACAAACCAGAACAGGTTTTTAGGCTAATGTGTGAAAACATGATATGCATAGTATATCGGTCAACATAGTATATTGGAGCATTAATACTGTCTTTTTTTTACTACTCGAGGCAGCTGGCTAGAAATCATCCCTGAGTTGAGTTCACCCAACAACTTACCCAATGGCATTTGCTCCAGGACCCAGTGGGTTTGTTTGGGAAAACCTGACCAGCTGATCCCCTTGGCAACGATCTGTCTGTCGTTACTGCTGGTTGTCGATGATACGATAGCCAGCGTGATGACGTGGAAGGGTTTGCACCTGTTGTTGCATATTACTGGACTACGAAGGCGACAATGTAAAGGAATTGTCTGGAAGGCAGAGAGGGTCATGATAAATATAGCACAGCAAGAGAGAGAAAAATGGACTTTGTACTAACATAGCTACATCCATTTATATCGCCATAATTCTCTGTTAAATCCAGAGTTTATTATTACCATGTTGAGTATCAGTTGCAGATATACTGCCTTTACAATAAAAGACCATGTTAAATACATTTTACTGGGGGTATTTTGTTTTATTATTATTTTAAGTCTACAATTTTTTTTGTATATTTCAATAACAGTGCAATTTATGTAAATTAAAACCTAGTTTTATGGCCACCGATTGTATTATCTTGATAAAAACAAAGTGTACAAACAGACATTCAGGCATAGATATTCATAGAGGTTGTGCATTGTAAATATAATGGCATAATGTCTATTTTGATATATGTCTAGCTATACAGCTTGTACAGAAGTTCCTGCGACAACTACAGATCATTTTCAGCGTTGTCAAAATCTCGATTCCAGTAAGTGCTAGTTCTACACGTTGCTTTTAATGTGAGGTCCATTTTCTCGTACAGTGGCTGTTGCACATCTGTGTACAATATCATGATGTTGTTTGGCGTGGCTTGTGCTCGCTTTACATGCCTTTTCAGCTCAAAATTGTGCAGGCTCTTGCTTTGTAGGGCAGGTGTGAGAGCTGCTTTGATGCCTGCAGAGGAACAAAAGAGCAACGATGTTGCACCTTTTGAACTGCTCTGCAGCTGCATGCACTAGCATCTCCACTAATGGACACATGTTAAAACAGATAGAAACACAGTACTGGTTAAACTTGCTTTTACATAGTGTGACAAATAACCAGCTGCATGTTCTCATCCTTTGATTTTTGTGTTGTTGTTTTTTACCTATTTGATTTGTGTTGTATTCATTGTCACAACCGGTTTTTTGAAGGCCAAATATTTTACCATAAACAAACATAATTTTTTGGGACTAATTTTTTGGGAAGGTTATGCATCTTATGAGGACATATACGAGATTGAAGTGGTCCATGTCTGTTAGATTTGAGATCTAGATGGTAGGATGCTCTAAAAGTTAAGCTGATTTAATTTTTAGCAGATACACATTTAAAATCTACAGTCTTTCTTTCTCTAGAATACAGACCTAAAATATTCACTCACGTTGACAACAGGGCCATACAATTTTTTTTTGTCCAAACAAACACTCTCTTAAATGAGAATGTCCTCTCTAATATCAACACTCACTGACTTTGGCAATTGCAAGCAAAAATCATAGTTTTAAAACACAACTTAAATGCAAAAAAATATACTGCATGTCTCATTCCAACTTCCTGTTACAATATGAAGTACATCATCAATGGACAAAAATTGTGTTTAATCATTTCATGAGATTTTTAACCAGAGCTGTTCAGAAAAGCAGCTGACACCAGAAACATTAGAGACCACAAAACTTAGAAAATGTTGTCAAAGCAGTCAAACAATAAAGTTTTTAAAATACCACAGAGTAGCATAGATTTCACTCAGCACTGAAATTATTCTGATTTATATACATATGATGTATGATGTAATTTGTTCATGTAAAAGGCTTGTGCATAAAATGAAGCTTTTGCTTGTCTGTATAAAATACTTGAGAGTGTGAGTTAAATTGTATAGCCTTACACTGTTAATATTAGACTGAAATGAAGGAAACATTACTGTGTACTTTGAGGCTTGGCATTGCTTGATTATGTTCTGCAAATGAATATTTGAAATGGCTCTTGTTTGCCTCTCTGCTTTGCTCAATAAAAATGATCCAATATCATTGCCATATTCAGATGCAATATGTGACCCTGGAGCACAAAAGCAGTCTTAAGTCGCTTGGGTATATTTTTAGCAATAGCCAAAAAAACATTGTATGGGTCAAAATTATCGATTTTTCTTTTATGCCAAAAATCATTAGGATATTAAATAAAGATCATGTTCCATGAAGATATTTTGTAAATTTCCTACCGTAAATATATCAAAACTTGATTAGTAAAATGCATGGCTAAGAACTTCATTCAACTTTAAAGGCGATTTTCTCAGTATTTTGATCTTTTTGCACCCTCAGATTCCAGATTTTCAAATAGTTGTATCTCGGCCAAATATTGTCCTATCCTAACAAACCATACATCAATGGAAAGCTTATTTATTCATTATTTATAAAGCTCAATTTCAAAAAATTGACCCTTATGACTGGTTTTGTGGTCCAGGGTCACATATATTTTTAAAAGGAAGTATTAATTCCAAACTTAACAAAATAACTTTTGCAGCCTCTAAATGTCTTTTCTTGTTTGTTGATGTAGCCAAGCAAATATGAAATGGTTAAACTCCCCACTTAAACTAAAAACCAGTCATCATTCATGTTAGAGAAAGAAGGTGATAGCACAAAACTGAGACAAATGGTCAGATATCATCACCATTTGTTACCTTCTATCTCTTGAAAACAAACCCCCTCACACCTCTCTGAATGAGAAAAAAATTAACAAGCCACAGCCCTGCAATGAGATAGATGCTTTGACTGTGTCAAATCAAAGTTCCTTAGCATTTTTCATCCTTAAAAGCTCCCTGTCCAGAGACAAACTGGAACTGTGCTGTACTTCAGACCGGCTCTGTTTTTAAAACCATTACTTCTAATAGTACATCAGGCTGTTCAGACAACAATAAGAACACCCTGCCAAGCTTGAGCAGTGCTCTCAATGGTCCTGTCCACTGGGGAGAAAATTAAATCTGTTGGGTCCAATATTATCAAGATATGCTGCGTGCTCTGACAAGATGTCTGGCATCGGCCTCCATCAACTGTTATGCCTCTCTCTTCTCTATACAGCAAATGTTCCGGTAGTGGATTGTATCAAGCTTTCATTTAATTTAGTGAACTTTTTCATTAGCATGAAAAGACATACTGCTAGACTAGACTTATGGCTGATGATACACGTGGCAACTTTGGGCAATGTTGCCACCAACGGGCAACCAGATGAGACACAGGGCCCACGACCGATCTAAAGTATCCATCCAGATAGACATTTGTTATCCATTCTCAATGCGAAAGTGCCCAAGCAACATTGCTCAAAAAGTTGCCCAGTGTATCATCAGCCTAATCTAGACTAGGGAGCAAAAATAAGCACTTCAGACCAGTGCTACACTTTCACTAAATTTTACCTATTGAGCATTGGCTAGATTTGCAGAAAAATTGAGAGACTTGTGATCAGGGTTGCCAGGTTTTCACAACAAAACCCGCCCAATTGTTACTCAAAACTAGCCCAAAACTAGCCCAATCGCATTTCGAGGGGGGCTCCCCGTTAAAAATCGTGTTCTGTGGGGTAAAATACACATTTTTGGCGGGGTTCCCCCTGGTACAATTCTCACTCCAGGGGCTAAATATCACGTTATCGGGGTCGCTTCAACAGTTCACTTTTTGCTCATTTTTAAAGTGTATTGTATACATTTTTGCCCATTGTTCACCCAGTGATGGCTCCCTGGGACCTGTTGCACACAGAGAGTTGTGTTAATTTAAGTCCTGATATAATCAGATGCTACAGTGATATCTTCAGCTGAAGTGTGAGGCGGGCTCAGCTTGTCTTTGATAACCTGTCATTCAATCTTTTGAATGGCTAAATGGGTTTTAATGATATGCTTTATGGAGTCCAAGCATATATATCAAAGAATGCCTCTTTAACAAATGATTAATCACAGCATCCCAAGCCATCTGCATAGAATAATTATAATTATACATACTAGCCTAGATATTCCCTGATTGATGAGGCCTAGTAGCTGTCTGCATTTACAATACTCAATTAATAGTGAATCACGAAGCTCAGGGAGATAGAGGCAAAACATAAGAGAAGTGCATTCAAATGCTTCATCTTCCTCTTCATCATCCTCTCTCCACACTTGGCCTAAACACAGTAATGGACAAAAGAGCAGTTACACTCAATGCACTATTGATGTGTTATGCTGAATTTTAGTGAACTCTTAGTGAATGATATCTACATATGGTCTATGTATGGTGACAATACAGCAGATACAAAAGTAAAAATCCCATTCATTTTCTCCATTGAGAAATTGATTTTTAGCAATAAACTATGAACCTTTCAGGGCAGACTCAGGTTGTTAAGAGATGAAATATGCTTCTGTAAAAGCCCCAATCACAAGTCAATGTGATTTCAAAATTAAATATATAAATAACTCTACCTATTATTCTGAAAAGAAATCCACCAATCAGAAAAGTCACTCTTTGAAATTGTGGCAAAAGAGCTCAACTATACCACCGGCTCATACGAAGCATGACAAATGAGGCAATCGATTTTTGCTACCCAAATATCTTGCAACTGCAGTGGCGAGGATTAGGTCTCATCTGCTTGTTTAATGACACAATGCTGCTGTCAATAATCAATATTGGGTGAATGAAACAAGCTAATCTCAATCAAAAGATCAGAATCAATATTTTTCTCATATTTTTTCACAAGGCTTATAAAGCAAGATATGGTCCCATAAATGAAAAATATGATATGATACATGGAGAGTGGCATCACAAACAATGAAAGTAAAATAGAAAGCAAGCATTGCACCTGATGTTACAAAACCAGTCAAGAACATGTCAATGAAATGGGTAAATGTGCTTATTATCATGAATAAACACAATAAGCTTATTTTTATTGTGACAATTTAAAAAATTAATCTTATTTCTTTTATAAATTATCATGTATTTATACAATACTCTAATGTTTTTGAAAAAAGTCTCTTATGCTCACCTAGGCTGCATTTGTTTGATCAAAAATACAGTAATACTAAGAAATATTATTATAATTTAAAAGAACAGTTTTTTATTTGAATATATTTTAAAATGTAATTAATTCCTGTGATCAAAGCTGAATTTTCAGCATCATTACTCCAGTCTTCAGTGTCACATGATCCTTCAGAAATCATTCTAATATGCTGATTTGCTGCTCAAGAAACATTTATTATTATTATTATTATTATTATCAATGTTGAATAATATGGCTTAATATTTTAACAATGATACCTTTTTATAGGATTCTTCGATAAACAGAAAGTTCATGCATGCTTGCTGAATAAAAGTATTAATTTAAAAAAATAAATAAATAAATCACACTCATCCCAAACCTTACAGTGTACATATTTTCCTTATTTTAGAAATTTTTGTTTTTATTTAGGATGGTATGTGACCTGGACATGTTTCC